CTAGAGAAGCCAGATTGAGATGGTTTGGACATGTGCAGAGGAGGGACAGTGGATACATTGGTAGAAGAATGTTAGAGATGGAGCTACTAGGTAGGAGACAAAGAGGAAGACCAAAGAGCAGATATATGGATGTAGTGAGGGAGGACATGCAGATTGTTGGAGTCAAAGTAGAAGATGCAGAGAACAGGGAGAGATGGAAATCAATGATTCACTGTGGCAACCCCTGAAAACAGGGACAAAGCCGAAAGAAAAAGAAGAAAGAAGAAGTTTATTTTAGAAACCAGTCGTAGGATTGGATTGTTCAATTTGCTAGATTTGGCCCATGTGCTCCAAGTTTATGATCACTGCTGAACATTTGCCTGATGTTTAAATGCTTGTTTTGTTGAACACTCTACGTAATACTAATATTACCTCTACCTTAGAGGTATCAATCCAGCACATTCAGCAGAAACGAAACAAAAAACAAGCATTTGCAGTCACTTCTACTGCAGCTTTTTTGCAGACTGTGTTGAAGACTTCCAAAAATAACAAGATTATTAAAAAGGGTAAAGTGATGCTTTAGAATTATTTTATTTCACAATGTATGTAATGAGTGTCTTACCATTTTCAGAATTGTTGTTTGTGCTCAAGTAAAACCAAGGCTGACCTTGGGCCCTTCATTCAATGGCAAACACAGATAAACATCTCTAGAGGAGCAACAGGCAGAGCCACCTCTTTTTTAACTATGTGGACATTTTACTTAAATTATAATATCCCTCTGTGAACAGCAATATAAGGGTAGACACAGTGTGTAAAGCATCTGCGAGCCCAAAAAAAGGAGTCACAGTCCCAGAGTCTCTAGTATGTGGTTTCGGATCCTCGTCCAGTGTAAGCTATCGTCGTGGCAATTATCAAGGAATCCTTCATGTCCTCTAAAACGAGGCCAAGCTGAGCACCTTTATAGTGCTAAGTGTTCCCCACTTGGCGTTTGGAAGGTGTCAGCGCAATAGTATATTTTACGACGCCATTAGCCATGTGAGCTACGGAGTGCATAAATAGGGCCAAGGCAATTAGCATGCCAAGTGGCCCTTTATGATTGGTATAAAGGAGCTGAATGAAGCCCCCAGTACAAAAATAAGCATGAATTCCAATTTAGTGTCTAATGAACAGCAGGGAGTTGAGTTAATATTTTTAGACAACATTTATGTTGGGGATGAAACCTCACCGGACACACAAAGGTCAAAGGCAGCATGGTTAAAAGGGTGAAACATTGCCAGATGCCATTACTCACATCTACCAGAGGT